ACATGAAGGTTGGTGAGTACATTATGAAGCGTCTGTTTACATGCGGTTATGCATGTATTACTACTGACCAGGATGGTATACGCAACTTCACCTACTGTGTGTTTACTTTATCGTACAGTTGTACAGTTTAGGTTTGTGCCAAGGGTTGTGTAAGAATTTTGGATTTGTTTTGTTGGAAGTATCCTTATACTGGCTCTTGAAAGTCTGCTGTCTGCGGCTACCAGTAGGTACACAAATCCCGCTCGAGCATATTTGAAACTGGTTTACAAACTGCTAAAGTATATACTGAAACCTTTATTCAACTTGGACACTGCTAAAATATACACATTCCTCTGTTTTACATGTTTTCATACACAGAAAAACAGAAACCCCCCGCCACGCCAGAACGACCGGCAAAAAACAGTATGTCCAGAGGTTCTGAGAGTGCATAATCCCTGTACTTAGTCTCTGTGCGATTTGTTGTAGCCCTGGTTAGACATTTTTTCTCTCCAACTTTACGACTCCTTCTGTTATCAATTGTGGAGTACTAGACAAGATACCGTTGTTGCGTCACTGTTACTCACCGTTAACGTTTTTCTCGTTCATACCCTCTCCAAGTAGCTCGGGGATAGTCACCCTGATTTCAAATTCAGATCAACGTTTTCTAACCCAGGGCAAAGTCACTTTTACGTACCTTCCCCCCCCACAAACCCCACAATCGACACCAAAATACACCGGAGTTACTGACACTCTTATATCCTGTGCCTCTGTGTGTAGCTTCATCGACTGTTTCGATCTCTTCTGCGTCCGTCGAACCCAAGGGTGCCGTATATCCGCCTAAGGTGAGCGTCTTTATACAGCCTACTTTATGTTACATCTTACACATCGAAAGGGCTCCTTTGCGCGGCTATCTAAAACTGCAGGTTTGAATCTTAGTGTAGATCAAATCTTTCTGAAAAATAAGTCTAATTGTATATAAACTGTAATTGTAATGTCAAGTTGTTCGTATTCTTCGCCGCCTCTACAGGACAGCATTAATGGCATACGGGTGTTGCCATGGAGGATTGTCGTTGTAGCTGCGTACGCTAACAAAATGTTATAAAACCTTGCGTGCTGTATATAAATATATTTGTATATCCACAGTAATAATTCTTTCTTTCCGTTTTTCTTGCCGTTTTCTGTAAGCAGGGATTGACTGCTCAGAAAAATGTATTATGCATATAGCTTACTTTCACCTATTTAGATTTCACTATCCACAACATTCAATGTCATACAAAGAAACCCCAACAGATACAATACATGCACACATACATGCAGATATAATACATGCACACGCAGATACAATTCACACGCATATGGATACTAGCTTACCCCACCCTTATTTCATCACAGAAAGACGACCGTAGTTTCAAAGGCGATTTCTCTAAAGACGCAGATACACCTGGAATGCTGAATAACTACCGTGCTATGATGCAGGGGCTCGAAAGCCTCTCCATGAAGGTGAAGTCACCCAAGTCACCCTAACAAGCGCTTCAGCGCCGGATGTGGTCATATACTGGACACGAAGAAATATATGGAAGATGAGGACTTGCATAGTATATAGAATACATGATCTGGAGGCAAATAATTGCCAGACGATATATACATTTCATGTCTATGTATATATATAATTATATAGATATATTATGGTCATATACACAGATCCTGAAATAGGTATATATATGGTTAGGGTTTTAGGGTTAGGGTTAAGGGTTAGGGTTTAGGGTTTAGGGTTTAATATATATACAGAAAAACAGTTATTAACACATATATATGTTATACGTCCCGGACATAGAGAACAGGCCCGGAGAATGAACGTCAAGGTCTAGACAGGATACTAGCTCTAAAAACATAAAAAGGATTTTTAAAAGGAAGAAAATAAACAACATGGCCGGGAAATCATACTCTTGACATCCTCACTACAAAGTGCTTTCTAGATTGACAAGTACGCGGGTTGGTGCTTCTGTCGATTGCTAGCTATTGCTCTCGATTAGGTGTTGAGTCATTGTTGTTAAGAGTCTCTATCGCTAAACATTTTTGTTCAATTGGCTCTGCTATCATGTCCGTATTTGCCTCATCACAATCTCGTGCATATGCGTTGAAGGCCAGTCCTACCAATATGTACTCATCGTTCCATCGGGCAATTCATAGTATACACTATAACTTTATAACTCGACAACCCTAACCCACATACTCATATATTAACAAGGCAAGATTGCATTAAACTCGCATATACTAATTAACTGTTCATGAATGTATAAGCTCGCATAAACTAATTAATTGTGCATTAATGTATTAAAATCTCATCAATGTACTGAACTCGCATAAACTAATTAATTGTGCATTAATGTATTAAAATCACATGAATGTACTGAACTCGCATAAACTAATTAATTGTGCATTAATGTATTAAAATTTCATGAATGTACTAAACTCGCATAAACTAATTAATTGTGCATTAATATATCAAATTCCGATGAATGCACCAAACTCGCATAAACTAATTAATTATGCATGAAGGTATTAATTTTCCCTGAAAGATCTAAACTCGCATAAACCAATTAATTGTGCATGAATATATTAAATTGTGCATGAATGTATTAAATTTCCCTGAAGTACTAAACTCGCATAAACTAATTAATTGTGCATGAATGTAATAAATTCCCCTGAAAGTACCAAACTCGTATAAACTATTCAAGTGTGCATGAATGTATTGAATTCGCATGGATTTCATCAAGTTTGCATGAATGCATTGGCTCTTTAATATCTGATTGCTTCATCGGTCACGATTCGTCGTGTCTTTTTCTTTTACCTTTATTTTGCCGATAAAGGGTTACTTTGGTCACTATTCCGGGAGCAGATTCAGTGGTCCACCTCGTTTGCTTTATCGCAGTTTGCCCATTCGCCTTTTCGTGCCGTATTAAGATCTTGAATGGCCACAATGGCACTTCGATCGATTGCCTATGTATATCCCGACCTATCGACTACTTCTGTCTCGGCATCTACAATACAACTGCAAGCGTTTCCCATAATCCCCTCATATGGCGCCCGTATCTCTGCCATTGCTGTGTGCGGACAAGTTCCGATAGAAGACTGTGAATAAACTAACGATCATGCGATTTCAAACTTACTAGGTTTAATCCATCTTGCAACGTGTAATGATAGGCTATTTATGGGATTCGCCACCACAAGTCTCGTTGGCAGCTCTACATTAGCCAAAAAAAAGGAGGCCAAAACGGCACAGCTTTGTATAGTATGCATGCCTACATCCTCCGTGCAAATTAGTGGTTCCCTCGACTGTGTCGTACTTAATTGTTCCGGATGTGAAGCAAAACTGTATGTAACATTGTGCACAAAGAAACTCGAGCTCGTAACAACTTGGTCAAAAGGTTTATTACTATCTGCAGTACAGGACCGTACGCCTCAGCACACACACTATTGAGGTGCTGCTATCAACACCTTCTCCCTACTCTGTACACGACACCTTTGACGAGGGTTTAACCCCCCCCCCTTCTCTCTCAAGAAAGAAGACCTCTCGTCCCAGGGTTAGCCAGGTGACTCAAGTGCCCATTGCCGTATACTTCTTCGGTGTCTATCTCCGTAAATTCAGAGCCGCCTCTAATAGTACGATCTGGTGCGTCACTTATGCCTTGCTCGTTTGCAGTTCTAAGGCTCTGCGCTTGATCTCCTCGTCAGAGAAAGTGTCGGGGCTGTACAGTGCAAGTGCAGGCGTTTAGACAAAATAAGACTGAGGACACGTATAAAATTTTGACACGACGTAGCAGGTATATATATATGAATAGCTAACCACCCAACCACACACTTGCACACTAACTCACACCAATATATATATATATATAAATGTATACTTACATACATACATACATAAATACATATATATATATATATATTATACAAAGATACACATATAAACACACCCACACCCATAAACATATATATAGCTAACCACCCACCCACTTGCACACTCATACACACCAAACACCCACATATATATAATATAATAATAATAATAATAGTAGTAATAACGATAATAAATATACAAAACATGTTCATATAAAGAAACATAAACAAGTCTATCTATCTATCTATTTATCTATCTATCTATTTAGCTATCTATCAAACTATCTATTGAATTAACGAACTATATATATATATACATATATATATCTATATACGGTGGTATTCACACTACAAGTGTATACCAATCTACATGTGTGCATTTACACTGGATTTATATACATTGCATGTGTATATCTACACACGTGTTTGTGCTATATCCAGCCATGTAAGTTGAACTTACAACCATCAGAATGAGCTGCGGAACATACCTTGTGTCAGGGGAATAGTAGTGACCAACTCCGGCAAAGACAAACGCTCCGCCCATGCCGTACACCCAGATGTACTCCCATGTCTCTTTCACACGAGGTCCAGGCTGTACAGCGAATTCATAGGACGAGATGAACAGAAGAATATTTTGATTTCAAAACAGAACATTTCAAAATAGAACATACACGACCGACAAACACAAACACACAAACC